CCTCCCCTTCTCATTGTTCTGCAACCTGGTGTGACAATACATTGGACTGTCAAATCCAACTTAAAATCTTTGGAAACACTAACTCTTGACCTAGTTTGTAGGTCAGCATCTAGTCTACTGACTAGTCATGAGACTGTCTTAGTTTGGTTTCCCTAAAAGCACCTCCAGGCTGCAAATCATTTATGTGCAAGTTGGTGCCATGAAGGCCCAGTACAGGAATGGCAAAGGGAGACACAGAAAGGAAAGTTCAAGAAAAGGGTGTTAATGAGCAGATCACTGCATGAGCAACCTGACTTAGTCCCAGTGGGACCCTTCTTTGCCCACCAAGAGACAAAGAAGCTGGGCTATTTATTCATGGTTCCCAACCCCCATTGGTTGAGGATCACCCATGAGATGTTGGCTCCCCAGCCCTCTGGGAAGAGCCTGAGAACATCCTCAGCACGGATACAGGAAGAGAAGGGGTGCAGAAACATCTACAGGTATGCGACACAGTTATAGGTAGAGTACTTTAGAACTTACTATAAAACCTTACCTCCAGAAAACCCAATACAGTGACAGAAGCTTGTCTTTACACCTAGAGGATAAATTATATTTTCAAAGCCTCCACTGGCTCAGTTGATTTTCCTACCCTCCCTGTGACAGATATAGGGTCATTATTTTTAGCCTCAGTTTACAAACCGGAGAAAGTTAAAGAACCAGTTACTAACTCTAACTGGCAGACTTGATGAAATTTACTAAACACTCTGCCAGGGCACTTTTAATTCTTTACTTTTTTTTTTTTGTAATTTGTACAGTTTTTTCCTTACAGCCTCCCAGGAATGCATCTGGTGGGTAGCACCCTGTCTCTGGGTGCTTGGAGTGACCCCATATTCAATGTTCACAATGTTCGGGCCCCTGACAGTGCCATGAGCCCCAAGTGCTCTTTCTGACAATTACCCTTTCAACCTCAACATTTCACCTTATGTAAATTTATTTTCTAGGTGCTGACAAGACTTTGTTAATGAAATTGAATGAAATCAGCATTTAAGCTGACCATCCTGGGTCAGAGAAAAACAATGAATTTCCATAGATAAATACCCAAATGCAAGGCAGTTGAAAACAAAAATTGAGTTTTATCCTGACCAAAGAAAATGATTGTGTTCCGTAGCCCATTGTAGACATAATTTCCCAAGTTTGCCTGCTTCATTTTTGCTTGTACGGGGAGCATTAATGAGGCTGGAAATCTCTGGCAAACAGATTCTGTAAAAATTCCTGATCCAAAGACTGAGCAAACGTTTGGTAAAAGATACCTGGCAGAGAAGAGCTTTAAAGCATTGTATGTCTGTGGACCCAATTAATACCATTGCCGTCCCAGGATTGCTGGTTTGGAAGTGATTCATTTGATGTCTTGGAGGGGAGGGGTATCTCCTGACTGTGTCAGAGGTGCTAAGACAGCAGCCTACACAGTGTGAGAGGACAGGTGGAAAGGCCACCTCTTCCTTCATAAGAGGAGACAAGTATGTTTTCCAACTCAGTGAGCACAGTGGGAGACTTCAAACAAGTCTAGGTAAAGCCTCCTTTGTGCTCCACACCACCCAAACAAGTGCCATCTCCAGATGCGGTTTCAATGTTGCCCGTCTTCTCTTCCAGACACAGACCCACCAGGGATGTGAATATCTCCTCTACTGAGCTTTTCAAAACATGGTGTCAAAGATCAAGTTCAAAAACCAGCCACACTGTTTGCCAGCAGCATGACCTTGAGTAATTACTGACATTGTTTTAAGTTTTAGGGTTGTTGAGGACCAATATCAAGTGATCCGCATGGTGCCTGGCACATATAACAATAAAAATCTTACCATATGCTAATCATTTCTGAGTTTTGGCTCTTCTCTGTAACATATGAGCACTCAATGATAACAGGTTTTAACCATTTTCAACCTCAAGGCTCTCCCACTGCCCAACTCTGTGCAAGAGCTTGTCTCAACGTGTTCTTTGTGGGCATGCCAGTGAGTCAGACCTCAAAGGCTGATGTAAATACCCATGGCCTAGGTAAACATTACCCACCCAGTTGTCCTCATTACTGTCTTTCCTCAAGTCTCCATTTCTGCTTAACTTGGATGACCAAAGTGAACGTTCCCTCCCCTGTGGATTGCCTTTAGTCTCCTGGAAGGGGTACCTCAGACTTGTCCTTCTATGCCTGTTTTCCTAAGTCAAAAGATATTAACTGGCCACCAACAAAATTGCAACGGCACAAAGGTCCATATACAATCCACAGTATGTTTTGGCAACATATCAAAATTGGGTGCTCTTATATAGAAAAAAATACAAATTCCAGATAAAATTAATTTTTAAAAAAATCAGAGGATCTGGCAACACTAGGATAATATGGTAAGCAAAAGGAGGCAAGGAGGAGTTAGAGAAGAGTTGAGTCATAAGAGTATATCGGAGGGGCGATAACAAGGTGTAGACACTGAAGTGGGTAGCATCTTAAGGAGAAAAGCTGGAAGTACTGTTAATACCACAAACGCTGTGGGAAGAATTAATAAGACACCATTGTATCTGCCAAGGAGGGATGTTAAGAGTTTTATGAGCTAGGTGTGCAGAAGGCTACAAGGGGTTAGAAGAGAATAAGCAAGGACTAAAATTAGTGAGTAGGTTAAACATCCAGAGATCAGCCTTCAAAATTAATTTTCACTTAAAGAGACCAAGTGGTTGTAGAAGTTAGAATTGAGCTATGATAAAGGAAGGTAACACTTGGTAGCAGCAGACTTGCTAATGCCAAGGAAAGAAGGAACACGCCAGCGAGGGAGGGAGGTCACAGCAACATCACAGAGGTTATTGTTCAAGAAAGTTCAAGTTCAGGCTGAGACGCTGATAGAGATGGGAAGGCCATGGGTATCAGTTTCCCAGCCCTGTAGTGCTCTCAAACAGCAGAGATGTCATCAGGTAGGTGTTCACTGCTGTTTCCAGCCTGTAATAACATTTTTGCACAACTATTATAAACTAGTGTGAGAAACTTAACACTTCAGTGCACCTCTTATGAACTTAAATATCTTAAACTATTAGAGAAGTACCAAGCTTAAAGGAATCTTTAAAGAAACTTCAAGAACATCTTTGTGGTGTAAACATTTACTAAATAAAAGGAGAGCATGATCAGTATCTAGACCTCCAAGTGCTTCATCAAATCTGAAGGGTTGTGGGCTCTTAAATTTATATCAGATTGTAGCTTAAAGTGTTTTAATAAAGTTCTATGTAAAGTCAAACAAGAACAATGAATTATGTGGAGAACTATTAACTAGAAAATCCAAGACATCTGTTGGGGGGAGGATGAATGAAGGAGATGAAGGTGAGGGAATATAGTTGATGGGCTTCATATACACATACGAAATAGAACAATGGAATCTCTTGCAAGTGCTTTAAGTGTGGGGTGGAGGTATCAGGGGAGGGTGGAGGTGATCTAACCAATGTCTATTCGGAATTGGCACAATGAGTTCCCCTGAATATATTCTAATAAAAATGAAAAAAGAAAGAAAATCCAACACATCAAAAATAATCTCATTTTTTAGGTTTATTAAAACAAAACTACATTTCTGTGCTTCTCACAACACATTATCAGGCATAAAAATTGATTGTTTCCAAGTAAGTCTTACTCACAGAATCACGCAGTTATTTTACATACTTTATAGTAATTCTTTTTACATCAATCTAACATTTCTTTGTACAACAGACAAATACTTTAACACCTTCCATCGAGACATTTAGCCCTTTAGCTGTTTAAAAATAAAATCAAGAATCTCTTTTGAAGCAATCATTAGTTTGCATTAAATTAAAATGCCAGATGGCAGACTCTCAAGCGCCTAAAAGTGTTTTAAAAAACAGATTTATATTCCATAGTAAGTCTTACAAACCACAATGGTAGATTCTCTATCATTTCTAAACATGAGAACTAGCTATGGATAAAAATCTGCATTCAATTGTACGATGTTTTCTTCTCGATCTGAATAAAAACCTTAATTATATTTACCTTCAATCATTGTATTAATGTTGCTACTTTAGTACAAAAAAGCCAGGATCATTGACGGCCAATCTTTCCATCAAAGTAAAGCACTGTAGCCACCTATATTGCAATTTTCTGTGCTTATTCTTTCTAGGGGAGGAAGTATATGTCCATTCAATGCACCATGTGATGGTACAAAATGTGTGTGAATTCTGCCTCAGTGTCATCTATGTGTTACCATTTTGACTCCTTAAAGCACTACCTAACATAAGAGTTGCCCAAAATGTCTTCCAAGGGATACAAGTGAGAGGTTCAGAAGTGAGGTGTCCCAAAGGGGGACAGATCCTGAGGTCAAAATAGTTGGGGAAATGCTGGATTAAACAGGCTCTTCACTACTGGATGCTGAGCCCTTATTGCACTAAAGTACACTGTAAGTTTCTATGTGCAATCTCAGTTTGCAAGCAATATTCTCTATACAACACCGATGCATCCCACAGGGCCCTCCTGTTACTTGGAGCTCTATGGGAAATGTTTTCCTTCCAGGTTGCAGGAAATGGAAACTCCACAGTCTGAGTTTCTGTTCATTGTCATCCTGCCTATATATTCACCACTCACCCTCATGACTTCATGAGACTTAACAGATCTGAGAAAGACGTAATGCTTTCTCCATGTTCTACACACTTACCACTCATTTTTGCCTTTGTTTTTCTTAGAAGTTTAAGAGTGAAAATTCCTTCCACTCTTCTGAATTACTTAGGGACACTGTCATTTTAAAAGCCAGAGTGTAGTTTCATATTGCTTCTTAGTGATTTTTTTTTTTTAATTTTAGTATTTTAACTTGACTCACAGTCTTCCCCTGAAGGGCCTGCATTTCAGTTTTACAGAAATGCAAGAGTAAACTGTAATAAATTATTTACAAGCACCTAGTTAGTTTGACCTTACAAGGAAGCCATCTGCTGTTTGAAAACAATGAGAATATATCTATTAGCAAAACAGTGCTATCTGGAAGCCTTATTGTCATGCCTTTTTTTTTTTTTTTTCATTTATGAGGCACTGAAGAATGAGTTGTGCTAAAATTAACTTAAGGATCAGCTTGTCTGGATAAGCATAACTTTGGTTGAGATTTTTCTTTTTTAAAAAAGGTTTCAAAGCACCAATTAATTACAAAAAGCATGCATATTTATCCTCACAGTGAGTTAAGTGGCAAAAGAGCAAGCAAACTGCATTCCTCAAAGCATTTGATTGAATTTTTTGAAAACAAAACAACCAAAAGGGAAAATAGAGCAAGAGAAATCACAGTTTCTCTGCTTGGGCTGGCAAAGCAGCAGCTCTTTGCAGAAGTGACAAACAGAGCAGCATATGCACTGGGAAGTCAGCCTCAACCTTGACTTTCCAGCCGACTAACAGAGTTTGAGCGATTCTTCATTTACACTTTGGAGAATTGGGAAACACACAGAGAGAGACAGAGAGAGAGCGAGAGAGAGACTTACTAGTAAAATGTCTGATTTCCCAGATAAGGAACACCCAAGAGAATAAAAGAGACTCCCTGGGTATCCCCCAAGTGCATTCAAGAGAAGTGTTCTCCTACCCTAGTTGGTGAAATAGAAGGCTAAAAGGTGAGCATCTCACTCCATACCTCCACACTGGAGCTGCTGCAACTGAGTGACTGACACATGTGCTCTGCCAACATTAAAGAAGAAAACAGATTTTACATGCAGAATTGGAGCAGAGTGGAGAGGATCACAACAGCAATAGTGTTACTGCTATGAGTTTCCAACAATGTGAAATACCAGTGTCCCTACCCTGTCCCATCTCACACCTGTCATTCATGAGATATGACTAGTGTTTAAAATCCAAGCTCAAGAAAGTATAAACTTCATTTTCAATGCTTTTATACTAACTTCAAAGAATTTAGGCAGAAAACTTTCTAACTCCATACTACCATGGAGATAAGGGGCAGTATATTGTTAGAAAAATTTTAACATTACATGATAATTAAGAAACCACCATAGTTACCTCATTGAACTATTACACTCCCTGTTCACAAAAAGGTACCTACCCATTATAAACAGACAGTTTTTCATAACTATTTGCCTCTCTAGGACATTGGGCTTTGGGCATATTATAACACATACAAATTTCTGAAGAACTACGGTTTTTTCTCAAAGCTAAAAATCCACAAATACCTCCAACCATTTACCACTCAGCAGGGTCACTGCACATATGTACAGGTTGTAGATGGCACAAATAAAGTATATACTATTCACCCAGACTGGGGTGCAGGGTACAATCTGTGCACAGCACACGAAAGCCCTAGGTCAGCAGTCTAATCAGGGCACTACACACTAACAGTCCATTTGCTGAGCTAATGAACTTAGTACAGTTGCTTTTGATTGGAGGATTCCTAAGAAACAACAACTGTACCTTCCACCCGGGAATGGGAAGGGATACAGAGATAAAACAGGGTGAGTTTCTGAATACTTACTGGTCACTTAAAACTCAATGGCACTTCATCATATGAGCAAAATGTTCAGTGCCAGTTTTCTGGCCAAGTACGCCTTGAATTTTGCCAGCCAGAGTTACTCTGTGATGTTAGCAGTTTGATCATGATGCCTCAATTCTTGGCCTAAACTCATATTGTCTGTTCTTGTGCAGCTCTTAGAACACTTTCTAAAACTGACTGCAAAGGGCAGCACAGCAATACCCAGGTATGATGTGTCTCAGCCCATTCACTTGTAAAGCACTTTGGGATGAAAGGGGCTCCCATGTATAATTTAGCTAATATTGATGATAAGACTGAAAAGGAATGAATGGAAGACCCAATTATTTTTAAAGGAAGTATTAACCATTAATCAGAAAATAGACCAGTGAATTACTGACAGCATGATGTATACAAGAGTCAGTTCTGGAATGCAACTACATTTCTGTATCCATCACAGTAATTAGTACTTAAAAGTTGTACTTAAAATGTGAATCTTTAATAAACTCCAAAATAATTTATTGAGACTTCATCTAGTAAAACTGATTACGAGTTGCAAACGGAGGCCAAGGGCCCCCAAGTGTCATGTTAGGCTGCTGCTTATGAGTTGGGAAGAGCACAGGTCCATGAGGGCAAAAGGCACTTGTCTTCTAGGAGGTCACCTCAAGGCAGGGCAGGCAGGCCTGGCCATGCGACAGCACCTGCCACTCTCAGGTTGGGCTGGAGCCTTCGAGCTGGAGCCTTCGAGGGACTCATCTCCAGCCCTTCACTCACCAAAGGTGCTGCAAGTTACCTACAGCACCACAAAACTCAGAATGTATTCTAGGAGTTTTTGCCGGTTGCATTGAGGTAGAAAAGTGCTGCTCAGTTCTAAAACAGATACTTTCTTTTGCTTGGTCTCTTTGAAAACCTGAAGAAGAAGAAGTTTAGAATGAATTAAAAGCAAAAAAAAGGACATTTTTTTGTTACCAAACCTTAACCTGTGTCCTAGACCCCCAAAGGCAGTAAAATGACATAAAATCATAAGCTGCTCTAAGTAAGTGGATGTGGAGAGGCAAGAGTGTGAGGCAGGAGGCTGTGGAGACTTCATACAGTGCACTAAGCATCAAAATTTGTTAGAACAAAGCCACTTTAAATAGGTCCTTTCAAAAGGCCACTTGTAGCTCTGTGAAGCTCATGTTCTTCAAGATAGGTGAAAGTAAAGGATACGTGAGGGTACTTCTAGCCATACTTGTAAAAATACAAGAAAATAACAGAAAATCATAAGGTACAATTAACAGCCAAACTTGTGCTGGCATTTGAAACATACCAATACCTGTCACACATAAACAGTTTGGGAATGAATGTGACAGCAGCAAAACTCTGGGATATTCAAACAAATCTATACTGATGGGGCTCACCATATGCATGTCCCTTCCCCCACTCCATTCCCAGCCATGCCTTTCCAATGAACCCAGCAGAAACTGTTTCTCTTCTGCTTCCCACACCCACCACAAAGGCACCACAAATAGACTGGATCTAAGGCAAACAAAAGTTAGTGCATGCTTTTGGACACTTACCCCAATATCTTTAAACATTTTCACAGCATTCTTCACAAGACAATATGTGGCACTCTCAGCTGTAGAGAAACAGTAAGGCCCTGTCAATGTCCGGCACCCATAAGCCCCAATGTGGGAGGCTATGCAGAGGATGGCAACAAGTCCCCAGACTGGGGCAGCCTCCATTTCTGCTAGTGGTAATCAGAGAAGTCCCTCTTAAATAATTTGCTGCTTCTTTCAGCCTACTTTGTCATCTCTTAAGAGACAAAAGAGAGGGAGGAAGAAGAGAAGAGAGAAAGAGGAAACAAGGAGCAACAGCCAAAGCATCCATCTAGAAGGGGTTTGTGAGAATCAAAAAAAGCAGTAGTAAAACTGCTTTTAAACTACACAGTGATGCAAAAATAATTCTCACACCTGTGGATCCAAAGAGCACACATCTAATGATCAGGAAACAAGAATTCTAAACCCAAGTCTCCCACAGGACCTGGGATAGCTTCCTCATCTGTAACACGAAGCAACTGGAGTAGATTATCTACAGATCCTTACTGGCTCTAAAAGTTTATTCTATTCCTCCACATATGCCATGAATATGAGCACAAATAGTCCCCACAGATGTATTCAAACATGTTCAGAGCAGCATAATGCAAAGTAGCTTTAAGCTGCAAATAACCAAAATAGTCATCAACAGCAGAATGAATAAAATGTGGTAAATACTTACACAATGGAACACTACACAGCAGCAAGAACAAACAAAACTATATACAATGTATATGAATCTCACAAATGTTAAGTGAAAAAAGCCAGACATAAGAGTATATAACTGTATTGTTTAATTTATATAACATACCAAAGAAGATAGCACCTATGGATTTAGAGGTCAAGATAATTTTGCATTTTTCTTTTTTCTCCACAGTTGACAGATTTATTTAACAATAAAAGAAAATGTTATTTTTAAAAGAAGTCGGAATAGTGACTTAACTTACCATACACTGCAATATTCCTTTCTGTTCTGGTTATTAGGAATTTATGCAGTTTCTGCAGGTACTCAGGTTCTGGAACAGGACCACTGAAGTTGTGGATGAAGATGGCGGCAGAACTGTAGGCCTCCAGCAAGGGCCCAAGAAGCCTCTGTAAGAAGGTGATGAACTGCTGGTGCTCCTTGGACTGGCTCACCTGAGATCACAGAGCAGGAGGTGAAGTCACAGGAAAGGAACAGGAGAAGTGAAGCAAGCTGACGAGGACTTTAGGAGAACCTGGAACTTGCTAAGACGGCCATGCAAACTAGCAGTGTGTGAGAGCAGCCTACAGCTCTTGGGCAGACAATTCTTTAAGAAATAAGAGCTGATTTTTGCCAGGCACCAGTGACTCATACCTGTAATCCTAGCTACTCAGGAGGCAGAGATCAGGAGGATCATGATTCAAAGCCAGCCCAGGCAAATAAGGTTTTCTCAAAAAAAATCATCACAAAAAAGGGCTGGTGCAGTGGCTCAAGATGTAGGCCGTGAGATCAAGCCCCAGCTCCACAAATAATAATAATAATAATAATAATAATTAATAATAATAATAGCTGATTTTTAACATGTGCTCTGGATTGCAATCATTCACACAGTATCTAAGACTTGTGCTCACTGAGCAGCTACCTAGAAGAAATTTTCATAATTGACCGACATGATTATGACATTGTCATCACTAAAATAGCTGGTTCTGAGGCTAGGCCCTCCAGAGTTTGAAGTCTGGGCTCCACAGCTACTCTGGCACGTGATAAGCAGCTAACAATAATACTACATCAACTGTGCATAGGATAAGACCACCATCATCTCATCCCTTGCCAGTTCCAGCTTTCTCCCTCCCTCACTGGTGCAGCACCATGGGAATGATGGCCACAGTGAAGTATGCTTTGTGGCAGGGAGGCTTTCACTATGCCTACCCAAAACACAGAGGTTCATTTAAGCCCCTCTGGAGTGTGGAAGCAAGACCACTGCCCAATTGTGAAACTAATAAGACCCTAGTGAAAAAACAGTGAATTCCTAAATGTCATTTGGAAAGAAAAATACTGCCTCATGAGGAGTGGATGCAGGTGTGGATGAACAGGCATGAGCCTGTGTATTCCATGACAGAGTGGTGAAAGGTATCTATAGCACTCTTCTTCCTGACTTTTCAACTCTTGTTTACCTTTCCACAAACTGAACAATTTAAGGTCTGAATGGCTCAACTATCTTTACTAGGTAGAAGGTATCAGCACTGGTTAGTGGGTGCTTTACATAGGTATGAGTCCCCAGAGAACCACGTTATCTTGTTACAACATAAACCTCAACTCATCACTCTAATGTACCCCAGAATTCTCCACCAAAGTACCTTCAGGTAGCAATCCCGCTGCTCCTCACCAAAATCACTGTCTTCATCTTCTTCATCACTTCTCCAATTCAAAGGTTGAGGAAGCTTCTTGTCCCACTGCTGCTCTGCAAGACCAGGACTGATATCTTCCTGGTCATCTTGCTATGCCAAGGAGGCGGCCAACAATAAATACATACGCACAGGCCCACAAACTACCACCCAGCGAGACCTCAGACAAAGGGCTCTCTCTGCAGACCCTTCCTGGCCCTTCTCTGTGAGCCATTCTGCATGGGCCAATCCACATCTCTTTCCAAACCCCAAATCCCAGGAGACAGAAGAGGAGGAAATTGGGGGAAGAGCTAACAGATAGACCAAATAAAAATACTTTCACAGCTAAACTGATACCTACTTTCCAGACCTTCCTCTCCACACTAAATCTACCATTACTAAAAATCTCAAAAAAAAAAGTCAGGCACTGGTGGCTCACACCTATAATCCTAGCTACTCAAGAGGCTGAGAGTGGAAGGACTGTGGTGACTCAAGGCCAGCTTGGGCAAAATGTCAGCAAGATTCTATCTCAACCAATAATGGGCACAGTGGCTTGAGCCTGTCATCCTAAGCTACACAGGATGAAGACATCAGGAGGATCACAGGTCCAGGCTAGCTCAGGCAGAATGCCTCTGCAATCCCCATCTCAGTGGAAAAAAGATGGGCATAGTGGTTCACACTGCCAATCCAGTGATGGTGGGAAGTTTAAAACAGGAGGCTCTCAGTCCAGATCAGCCTGGGCAAAAAGTGAAATACTTGTCTCCAAAGTAACCAGAGCAAAAAGGGCTGCAGGCATGATTCAAGTGGTGGAACACCTGCCTTACAAGCGTGAAGCCTGAGTTCAAGCCCCAGTACCACAAAGAAAAGAAAATTGAATGTGCAAGCTACAAGCACACTTATGTGCAAAATATCTCATCTTAGAATGCTACTTTTGGAAGTCACAGAATCAACTCCAGATATGTTTGGACAATACCATTTACACAAAAGGAACTAAAATATTAAAAGACATCTGTTATTCCCATCCTTATTTTTCTCTTCTCTCCTCTGGACAGTACTACATAGTAAATTGGTGGATATATTGGTTTAAATAATTGGTAGAAGAGATCTTTTTTAAAACGAAGGACAAGAAGATAAATAAAGGAGGGCTCTTCCTCTTACCTCTGCCACTATAAGAATTCCATACTGGATAAACCTTCCTACTGTTTCATGGCAAACTTGGTAAAAAGTCTGACAGGGCTGAAAAGAAAAGTCATTGAAACATAAATGTCATTGTTCCACACTTTTTTTTAAAGACAAAAAACACTGTACAAAGGGGTTCCAAACCCTTCCATTCTATCACCTCAACCACTCCCCTGCACAAGTCTTATGATTTCTGAGGTCCATTTGACAAATGCATGGTCAAGGATAAAGCCCAAGGAAAGACCTGATGCTGACTGGCAGTGCACCTAACAGGACACCCTCTGCAGAGGGCACTCCTGAGTTTGATGCCTCCCCCGCCCCATGGAGTAAGCCGTAAGTGCTGTGAAGTGGTCTTCTCAGGATCCCACCATCTATTCTTACCTTCCTAATACAATCTCTCTACAAAAGAACATTACAATAGCGGATGAGGAAACATGATGTCCCAGTAACTGAAAAAAGGCCCATAGAAAGAATGAGGCCTATCTTAGAAGCCATCCCAGCCTGCCACCGAAGGGTCGTGCAAAACAAGTTCCCCAGTAGGACCACCAATCCACCATACACAAAGAGGATGTAGAGGAGGGTGATACTTGAAACACATGTACTCATAAATGTCCCAAACCACATTCTTTTACAGGGAACAAAAAATTAGAGTACAAATAAGAATTCTACGTGATGGTTTTAAGGGTTAAAGATCTACTACTTAATATATGTGCCTCATTTTAAATGCCTAAAAATGTAAAGATATGCTGTAAATGCACACTTGTAATACTGGGCCTCAGTTTCCTCATTTTTAAGCTGAGAGGGGCTTAAGCAATGATTTCTAAGGCTGTTTCTGACTCTTATCATTTATGGTTCCATCAGGTGGGTGTGCCAGTTATTGACAAATGACTACCTGGTGCCTCCTGCACAGTAACTGCTCAGTGGCACTGGGTATGAGCAACTGAGAACCTTGAGCACTCTGCCCTTTCATGCCTCAAAGCCGGGGCAGTGAGCCAAACATAAACCAAGATAGCAAATGCCGTATTGGTTTAGTGGTCACTGAAACCCAAGAGTGGAACAAAAAGCTGTCATAATGGGCCAAAAGTTTTCTAAGAAAAAAACAAAGGGTTTACATCTCCATACAAATGCTCAAGAAAGAGAACAGGTAACGTGGAAGAGCCCTCACTCACAAGAGAGATGGTGCCTTCATTGGAGAGCAGATAGCACAGGCTGGCCGCCTTCCGCACCAGCTGCTCCTGGCTGATCAAGCTGCCAGGGGTGCCGGCAGGCCCTCCTGAGCCCCTTTTATTCAGAACAGCATACAGGCTGCAGGCTAGGGAAATAAAAACAGCATTGACATCACCAATACTGGGCCTCCAAGGGAAACTTCAACTGACTCTGATAATCTGGATTACCTTAAGAGACTGTTAATCTATCAAAAATAATGGCCTGCATCTGAAGGAGAATTTTAAGTAGACCCTTACGGGACTCCATTGCTAGGATTCCATGTAATCCCAACATCACCAAAGGCTTTGCAAGGGCTCAGCCCCTCTTCTGTCCTTCTGCTGTGTTTTCTTAACCACACAAACCCTCCACGCTCTTCTCTTCCCTGTGTATGTGTCATCTCAGTTACATTTTCAGCTCCAGGATAGCAAAATGCCTTATCTCAGCCCCACAGTCAAAAATGCAATGCACACAGTAACTCAGTAACTACCTGCTATAAATACAGATACGGCAGCAGATTACATTGTCATTTAAAAACTAAAAACATAGCAGTGCACTTTCTCAGACAAGGAGCTATCATCTGAACCAAAGTAGACAGCATTACATATGTTAGGCCCTTGTATTTTCCATGAAAATAGTTCAGGGCCTGACTTACCTATGATGGCCTCCATGATAAAGACATGAAGTACCCCGTTGCTATAGAAATTGAGTTCAAAGACTGATGGAACAGTTGTGCTGGGAGTAATAAAAAATTCATCATTCCTGCTAGTGTGTGTGATTGTGACACAATTTCCCAGCAGCTGTATAGCATGCATGACTACATCTTCTGAATTTCCTGAGAACCCCAGGTCAAAATCACGAGCCAGGACTTCCTCCTTCATCACAAAGAAGTCTTCCACCAATGTAGAGAGATGGATTCCCTAAAGAGAAAGAACAAATGGTCTCACAACAGCAGAAAAGATACTTTCCAAAAGGCCAAGGCCAGCAGTCCCTGGATCTTCTTGTGTTAGCTTCCCTGCAGCCTGCTGCAGGCACCTACAGGAATAGAGCCAAGCCACCAATGCACAGCAAGTCAAAAAAAACACTTAAAAAGCTGGTCCCCCTGGAATGTATGGCATTACACAAGCCAGAGGACACTCTAGCCACATCACATGACATGAGCCAGTAAGATCACAAAGGGAAAGAAAAGCCTTCAGAAAGTAGAATGTGCTCGTGTTTTGGCAAAGATTTCATTCATTTTAAATATTTATTTGGTGCCTATGTATTAGCCCTATTGAGAACATGACTGTAAACAAGACAGACATGGTTTCTCCCATCACAGAGCTTAGACAACCCTATTATGACAAGGCAGACAGAGAGTTCTAAAATACAAATCAGATCTCTTGGAAACTTTTCGCTCTCAGAATACGTACTGTATGTCACTAAATATACCTTATTATGTTAATTATATGAATCAACGAATGTATTAGTACATATATTAAGTAGTCTTTTTTCATGTAGTTTTTTTATTGTACAAAATAGTGGGTTTCATTATGGCATTTCCATACATGTGTACAATGTACCAGGTTTCACCAGGCTTATAAACACTTTTGAACAAGGTACTTAGCTTATTTCACTGTTTATTTCATAGTACTAGCAGGAAATAGGCCAAATCTATCCTGAACTGCAGGCGACATTGCAGACATACCTGCCTGTGTCTGTAGAGGAGCAGGCAGGCCACAATGTGGGTAGACATAATGGCACAGGACTTGCTAGCAGCTGGAAGACAAACACAGAGCTTGATTTGCACTTTTTTTCCTAATACAGCTAAAGTCTTTTAAAATACCTTAATTTAAAACAGAAGTCTCTAAAACTATAAAAGTACCACATTTCCTATAACTGTGATTTATAATGGAAATACATCTGGATTTGCCAGTGTTCTGGAACAACTGGTCCTCATTAGAGATCATTGTTCATCATGCCACAGTCTAAGACAGGTCTAACTTCAATCCAGGCTAGTGGAATTAGGTTACTGAATGACCAAAGACACCTTTATGGAAATACCAAGACCCAAAGTATGAGCCTGTTTTAGAGTTCTCCAGGATAGCACATTGTCATGTGTCTTGACTTCTTACTGGCTGTGGTCTATTATGACAGCAGCTCTTTCATTCTTCTTGCAGGAATCCACCACATTAAAATGAAGGTATTGTAAAGAGGACAAAGGGAATTTGAAGTCAGAAAAATCTGGGCTCAAATTATAACTTCTACACTAATTAATTTCATGACTTGGGGCAAATTATATAAATTCTTGAGCTTCAGCTTTGAAAATACTCTCTAGCCCACCGGATTGTGTGAGAATGAAATGGTGGCCTGACAAGGACTTATAGCAATGGATGCTCAATATATTTTCATTTCCTCTTTCAACCTGGCCCAGAGATGGGAAGGAAAGGCACAGAAATACATTTGAGAACACCTATGTGCATAATCCAACACTTCGAATTTATAGAAAATTATCATCATATATATCAATTATGTGAATATCCATGGAATAATCTGAAATAAAGATATCACTTGTGGGTTTTCTGGGAGATGACAATGAATTCACAAATACCTCATTGAAAATTGAATCTATCTCCAGTGTTTGGCAGGGACAAAAGAGTACTCAGTACCATAGTTATGGCTGGGAGTCAAGCAAGAAAAGGAGCAGCCAGAGTGGAAGAAGCAAGCTGAAGGAAGAAGCCCTCTACAACAGTGTCAGCAGGAACTGCTGAAAGTCTGATCCAGACATGGCCCAGGGAATGGCAAAAAGGACATTCCATGGAGGCTGAGCACCAAGACATCAAGGTACTGCCCTGGGATTTTAAAGCAGCCTCTACAACAGTCCACAATGCTGCAACTTGGAATTTACAGCTGGTTCATAACTCCCTCAGTTCACAGTCTGACCTGAAGTATGTATGCACAACTATTCCACTGAGAACAGAAGCTGTTTGAGCTCAGAACCATTAAGGACACATCTGTGCTCCCCACAGTTAAAACCAACCTTTAGGATTAAAAGCCACTCACTATTTACTGAATAAGAATACCCATGGGGTCAGAGGAGAAAGGGAAATCTAACTGTAAACCTAGATGACATACAAGAAATTAGTTCAAGACACAAATTCAGGCTGGGAACGGGGTGTGGCTTAAGTGGCAGAGCACTTGCTTAGCAAGGCCCTGACTTCAAACTCCAGTATCACACACACAAGAAAAATTAAAATAAAATAAAAAGACATTCATAAGCAAAAAAGGGCACAAATCATTTTGACAACACTAATTTTTTTTAAAAAAACACAAGAACTAGCACATGAGCGCCTATTGCATAAGGTGTTTTACACATATTCCCTCCAACCCCTAATATCACCTTCTTTCTAATACCTTACCTGTCACCACCTGTGGATTAGACAATAGACCTGTAAAGTTGCACTGCATCATGCAGAGTCTGAACTGCAGAATTCAAGAGTGTGGATTCTACTTACTGAAGAGAATGTGCTCAGCCAGATTTGCAATCAGCCTTCTTCGGAAGGATTCATCTGCTGCATTTCTAGACTCATTATTGGACATGTCTATACCTTCATCAGCAGCATCATTAGGTCTGAAAAATTGTAAAAACCAGCCTTTTGTAGCCCCACTCTTACAAAGCAAAGAACATGGGACTAAGTCTATAAATGTATTAAGTACTTAAAATTACTACAGATTTTAAATTTAAACCATAGACAAGATTGTTTCCATAAGGTGTTTTCCACCATAATAGACTTTATTATGTTTCATGCACTCCAATGGACAAAATATGCTATAGTCTGTTGGCACATCACTTTCAAAGTCAACTGGCAGAAAGAATGTAGAAAGCAAGATGTCACATTTTAAAACATGTCTGAAAACAACACTTTCACATATTAAGGAAAGGCTTAATGTTCAATTTCTCTAAGTTATAATTCAGTTTGAATTCTGGAAAATTCAAATAGCACCAATTCTTTTAGATGTTTCATTTATATATGATATGCATAACATAAGCTACTACCAAGAACAATTCAGGTCAAAAATTCAAAAGCACAAATCAAGTAAGAATGCCTATATGATTTAGAAATCAAAAAGATTTTACCTGAAAATCATCGTACTAATGAAAAACTTCCTAATACAACATTTCAATATGCTTTATCAGATCAAGAGAAAAGTTAGTTCAGTGAGGAAGTAAACAAGAAGTATGTTCTTTATAGCCCACTTTTCTATGCAATGTAAGAAATAATAGTTATTTCATAGTTTAGTCAATACAAAAAATTTCTGCAAATCTTACTTTGAAGGAAGTATAGTTGGTAACAATGCTTGCTCCAGAGAAAGTGGGGCAGACACAGGTTTCTGACTTTGGCTTTCTAAATATTCCTGAAAAAAAAAAAAAAAAAGATCAACACTCTCATTGTCCTACTTTCATATCAACATATAAAATATATTTTATTTATATTCTGATCTTCAAAAGTTAAAAGGGAACTGTTTATAAAACAGGCCATGCTATAGAGCAGAGAAATTTTCTAGATCCTAAACTGTCTTCAGAAGGCCAAAATGATTCATAGAATGTTATTACACAGGAAATTTAAGAACTGAAGACACAAAGAATAGAATGAAGCTTAACCAAAATCATTTAAAAGTTAAAGGAAAAAAATCTTAACTTTTCTTTGATATCAGATAAAGAATAAGATAATTATTTGAAATTATCTGATAACTCCAAACTTAGGAATAGTGATAATATAGACAACCACACGTTTTGGAGGAACCTGGAAACCTGAGGGTCACATAATATTCAAAAGAATCTCAACCCAAAAGAAAATTATAATAAAATAGACAAGCTGTGCAACAGCTTAAAAAAAAAAAGTCAGGATCAAGTGGTAAGAAATGACAAGGTTCCTCCAAGTTAAAAGCAATTTAGGGCAGAAAGTATCCAGCAACAGACATAATTTTTTTTTCTTCATTCTTTTTGGTGTGTGTGTAGGGGGTTGGGGCAAGTACTAGGGATTTAACCTCTACTACTTGAGCTATCCCTACAGACCCAGAATCTTTTAAAGTTGAGGCAAGAAGTGGAATGTAAGGAGAGGAAGGACCTTAGCTCTGTATCCCTGGGTTCCTTACCTATCCCTCCTCACTCAATTTAAAAATCGAGGGAATCTAAGACTACAAGGACCTCTGGAAACTGGCAGTCCTAGACTTTTACTAAGGATGACATTCCCCCTTGGGATATTAGGGCCCTGGATTCTACTCGGCAGAATATAACATCATTCTAGATTTTAAGGGAGGTATTTTGAAAAATTCTCCCTAAATGCAATTTTAAAATATAATATAAAATAAACATATATCATAAAGCAATATGCAAGAGTCTCATGAATTTGAAAAAAAAAGTAATAAACTCTGAGCCTGATATCTCCTGGACACTCACTCTTCCAGGTTCACAAGCATGCTTTGCTGGAAAAATTTAGGAAAGGCCACTTTTATCACAGTCCTCATTTTGCAGGTGAGGAAACGGAGACCACAGTCATACAGGGGTGGGGTTACAACCAGGGCAAGCTCCCAGGTCTTCTGCCTCCAGGCCAATGCTTTGATGTAGTTCATTCCACACTCTTACCTTTAAGGAAAATGGCTGTGCAAAATCCACTCTGACATAACCATAGTTTTTTCGTAACATTCTAATAACACCTCTTGCTACACTCCAAAGGCTCTCGTTCTTCTTGGGTTTGCCCTGATTCCAAAGGTAAAAAAAATTACATGATGAGAAATAAAGCTAACATGGGCATATATTCTTCTTTCCAAAGAATAACTGCTTTATAGAAACTAGAGGTTCATCTTGAAAAGGACAATAACGAATAAAGAAGGAAAACAAGTTATTAACTGAGACCTCTGAGAAAATGTTTAATATTCAAAGATGCTAAAAGATGTAATCGTATCATTGGGAGAGGTAATGAGTCAACGAAAAACACTACTAGCTCATTTAGTACAATATTCACATAATTCACACAGGTACAGCTATAAGCTAATTAAGAATAAAATGCAATAATACCCTGAAGAATTGCTCTGCAACTTCTCAGATTAAAATAAGAGGTCAAAGAGGCCACTAATTTGAGGTCTTCAGATCACCAGAGTCTAAATACTTAACTTCAGTCAAATAAATGCCAAATTAAGTCTTTGAGCTGATTAGTCACTTAGAAAGGATTATCTGGGTATTTCCTCTACATAAGGCACAGTCTCATGAGACAGTCAGGACAAGCAGGTACACATCAAGGACAGAGCACCAACACAAGGAGAAGAATGCCATGCCTGGATTTTTAAAGCCTCCAGTTGTCAAGTGTCCTTGGACTTCTGACATGTTTGAAACAAGTACTTTGCCTAAGACTTCCACACTAAATCAGAACAAAACTGAATTCCTCTGGAACTCTCACACTGCTGGTAGAAGTGGTAATTGGTAAAACTAAAGTGTTTTGCACCATTTATGAAAGCTATACACACATATCCACTCCTAGGTACATACATGATAAAATGAATACATAGGGTCTCCACAAGAAATATATAAGGATGATCACAGCCATGCTTTATTTAAACAGTAGAAAAAATTGTGGTTTATTCATACATTGGAATTCTACTTGGCTATAAGAATGAGGGAACTATATGCAGCAGCAGGGAAGAATCTCACAAGCACCTACTTTGCAGAGGAAACCAGATCCAAAAAGAGCACACACTGTATTATCACATTTACACAAAGCTCAACAACAAGCAAAACTAGTCTATTCAGACAAGCAGTTTTCCTTCAGGGGCTAATGATAGGAGGGGCCCAAGGGAGATTTCTGGCATCCTGATAATAATTATTCCTTCATCTGGGTGCTAGTTACAGAGGTGTGTCCACTTTGTAAAAATTCAATCTATACACTTATGATTTGTGCACTCTTTGGTAACTATCATACTTCAACAAAAAGTTTACTGGTAGAAAGTACTGCCACTTCTCAAATTAATGTGTCATTAGTTTGTTGACATTACCTCACCAATTCTAAAGTCCATACATAATCAGTAGGCCCTGGGAAGAGCAAACCCCCTATAGAAGAGATGACAACTCAGTGGAAAGTGTTCTTCCACTTCCCATTCCCATGACCAGCTACCAAGTGGCATGTTACTCCCTCCAACCACAGGAAAATGCCACATGAGCACTACTTCCTAAAATGACACAGAAGACGAGGGCTTCTCACCATGCCCACCCAACCATGCTTCATACAGTGCTCTAAAATTAGGCAGTACCAAAGAATGTTCTTAGCTGATTCCAAAAGCAAATCAAAATACGCTAATAATTAAATCTAAGAGCAAGACATAAAAAGCAAAAGTGACTCTCATGTACCAGTTGTTCACCATTGTAGTGACCTTCAATTATCCGATCATAGGAGATTCCAACAGGTATTATCAAGATATCTGGGATGGTGTTGGTAGACAGGGCATCTACTACCACTGACAAAAGTCCCGCCCGAGCACAAGAGGTTTTTCCACTCCTAGAACGTGTGCCTTCCAGGAAAATCTCCAAGAACTGCTGCTGCCGGAGTAGTTCAACTATGTGCTGAGATATGAGGAAAAAGCAAAGCATGAATTCAAGACCACTCAACCTATATGAATTCAGAAAAATTAAACCATAAGACAAAAACACAGAAAAAAAACTATACTTCACTACTGACAAAATATTTTATCCACACCAATAACAGCAAGGCAGCTCACCAGCACTGTGTTTTGGTGATTACAAAAAATGATCAAACTTATACCTAAGCAATACTCATTCAAATTATCAGAGAACAGTTGTTTTATAATCTCAGCTCATATCTCTTTTTCCTTCCACTGTGATAGCTAATATAATGGTTTTAAGGATAATTAGAAATCATACACACCCCATGAAGCAAAGCTCTGTAAAGAATATCTTTCCGTCCATCTGGTGTTTCATCAAGCCTCCGTCGTATAAAAAAGCCCCCAAGTTTATGGATCAAGGTACTATAAATTCAAAAATGCATGAATTATTTATAAGGAAAAATAAAAAAGCATAGTTAAATTCCAAGTTACTTCAAAACAACTGCCATGTAAATATAAACCACATGTGTTGTGTGAGTGCTGACAGTGAAAATGCAACATTCATTTTCCATGTTATTGACATTTTTCACCCATCTTTTACATTCTCCTCAGCCTTTGGAATATCAGTGCATATAATGAAGTTGTATTATATCACTTCTGAGCCAAAAGGATTTTATGTGATATACTAGCCCACAAAGGTGATGGTTCAGATTTAAAAACATACAGAACACTTCTAAATTTTTCCGGGTGTGTACAGTGTCAAGACACTGACCCACTAGATCTACTGAAATTTGTCCATGCAAACTCACAAAAACTTACAAAATGAAAAAAAAAAAAAAAGTTCCTTGGGGAAAGTATTCTTAAATAATTATTGCTTAAAGAGGGGCCTTGTGAGACAAAGCTAATTTTACAAATGGAAACCAAGTGTAATCATCTTGCAAAACATGAAACAAAATTTGGCATCACTTATATGTACGTAGGAGTAAAGCAATGTTGTTCATAACCCAAGTCTCTTTCTACAACACTGATGGATTTTGATATGAGGTTGAAATTTTCTAAATCAGGCTTCCCTTCCTACAGTTTTCAAATACTTCTTTTCAAGTATAAATAGAAATATATTAATATACAGTGATAATATATTAAATATTAGTATTTTTGGTATCCTCTACTCTGTATAAGGAGCTCATAGTAAGAAGTTACCAAAGCTTAATATCTCTCTTTGAAATTAAAGTTCTTCAGAACAAATTCATAATGTATAAGGTGAGACATTCATAAAAATAATGTATCCTGAGAAGTGGCCTGTGACTGTGTAGGCTGGAGTGTAACAGAAGAAAGGTCCAAATAAATAGGGAAGTTTATCTACAGTTTGCTATATCTGAAAGAAGGATGACATAAGCAATGACTGACACAAAGTTCATGAAAAGGAAAGCTGCATTATGAGAAATCCTACATGTTTATTAAGCACTTCCAAAAGATCCTAGTTGAAAACCAGATTTGGAGGGAAATGAGTACATGAGCTATTCTGATTACAAGAGACAAGCCAACTCTAGACCTCCAATGAATACTGCCCTTCACCTACCAGCTACTTTCTGGTGACTTTCTAATTCAGCTTCCTGTGTTCCTGCACACTGGAAGAGGTGCCCTGGAGAGTAAACATAGGTATTTTCTACCCCCTGGAAAGCATGCCTGCACTGTGGGATCCTATCACACTGTTTTAGAGCCAGGTGTTTGCCTGTGTTCCCCATTATATGCTACCTGACAACAAAGACTATGTGTGTGGTTCACTCTTGCCCAAAGCACAGCTGGATAAATATCACTGACTGCACTGACTGCTCATCATATGAATCTAGTTAACTACAGAACTCTGAGAGTCCACAGAACACTGAGCCAAGGGATTAGGAAGGAGCTCCCCGAATGATGAGGATGAGGCTCAGACTTTGAAGCACACAAAGAGCATGAATGCCACCATGTAATACTCTACCTGCTCAGCCTGCCAGGCCACTTCCCTTCTAGTATCTCTCCAAATTTATCCTCTTCTTACTCACCTCTACTCTCAGAGCTGACCTTAGAGCTTCTTTGTACTTTGAAGTTTAAAAGTTCAGTTTCTCAAACCAGTTTTCACCAACTCCATCGATGATTAGACCTACTATCTACCCAGTTTCTCAAGTAGAAAACACCTGGCAGTCTCCCACACACACTCTGTTGAACCCCAAATCTGACCTAACACTGAGTCTTTCTTATAAATTAAATTTACTAAATACTTTTCAGATCTGTCTATGCCCTCCTCTTCAAGAGTTGAAGCCCTCATATCCTTCTCCTATTATAATAGAATCAGAATTGATTTAACTTCTTCTAATCTAGAATGACCTTTCAAAACGTTAATCTAAACATGTCATTTTTCAAATATAGAATGCACTCCAAACTCTTGGCTCAGAGCTTCTTTTGATCCTGCTCTCACTACCTATGCAGCTACCACCTTGAGATTCTGATCCTTCTCCATGTATCCTATATCCTAACTTTACCTAATTGTTCATCATCTCACCACACCATGCCCTTGAATCTCTCTGCCTCTGCACACATATTTTCCTCTGAACGCATTCTCCTGAAAACCTCTGAAAAGCAGTTCATGTTATATTGTGCTTTCCACGTTTCTGCCTCTACTAAATTATGAGGCCAAAGTAACAAATACAGTAATTTTTGTTTACCTTTATTCCACCTTACCTTCTGTCCAAGTGTGGTATAGTAATCTATCTGGCTTTTTTAATTGCCTTTTATCTGCTTGATAAATATTGCCCATCAAGTTCAGATATGCATAGTCACCATGAATCCCATATAAAACACATAAATAATGGTGACAGCCAATGTTTTAAACTATCCAAATTTTAACAATAAACAAGCATGACTTTTATAATAAAAGGAAAAAAAGGCTAATTATAACCAAAACAAACAAACAAAAATACACACTAAACTCAAAGCACAATCTTTTAAATCTATCCTTAAATTTCAAACTAAGCTGATCTCACCTGAAGATTGGAATGTTGAGATTATTGCCTGAAGCAATGTATGGTGCTTTGATGTTATGGCAGAAGAGAATGAAAGTGAGCAGCAAATAGTCAATATGGGATCTATGGACTGGTAGAAATATAAGCGGCAAATTGGTCTGGAAGAGAGAAAAATGCCACATTAAAATTCAAAGGTAAAATTCAATCCCACTTTGGAACTGTATTTTGGTTAGAATCACTCAAACGCTGGTTAATCAGTGACTCACTCTGTAAAACCATTTCCCAATATTAATAATTCTCCTTTCAATTTAACACCTATGTATAAGAACCACTATAACAACAACAAGAATGAACTGGGGGGAGGAGAAGAGTAACCAAGAGTTCAAGTTCACCTCTTCTGAAAGGCTACCCTAATCATGTAAAAAGAGCATAAGTTTTCTGAGCCAGGTCTGGATTTAAATACTGTGCAAACCAGCTAATATCTATCATTTTAGACAGTTTCTTAATCTGTCTATATCTCTGTTTCCTTATGTATAAAATAGGTATTGTCTTACCTAATTTCCAGGGTTGTTGCAAGGTAACTTTCAAAAGTAATCCTGCATATTAATCACAGGCCCTGCTTGACCTCACTTCTCCTCCACAAATACACAGCTACCGCAGTTATCACAAGAGGGGAAAACCTCTCAAATGGGATGAAATGCACAACAGTGTACAAGAAAACATGTCCAGAAGAACTCTAGAGTCACTCCATGAATATGGGGAGAATGGAATGACATATTCACAGAAATTCTTGCCTCAGTTGCAGCTTTAACCATCTCAAGTTGACCCTTGTGAATCTGAATATTCCAGAAGAAGCTGTTGAACAATTTTAGCAGCACCCACCCAGTCAGTCTGAAATAAAAAATAAAAATTTAAATGTATATGCATATATATGTGTATGTATAAACTGTATATAGTTGGCTTGTCTACTTTGGTTTGAGCCTACAACTTATGAGTACTTGTAAATGACCTCATGTGTGTTCATGCACAACTGTGTATCTAAATTGAAGAATTAGTGAGCTATCTTTAAATGCATACTACTTACAGAAGTATCTACTTACTATGGACCAAGATCACATTTCACTCTAATAACGCTTTGTACTTCAAAGGCAAATGACAAAGCTAATATTTAGGGAGCAGAAAGACCACTCTAACGCACACAAACCACTCCCTTTATGACATGGATGTGAGAAGCTTGACTCATAACCAGTCAGGAGAACAGATGTCAGCAGTGATACAATGGCTGCTATCAAACAGCACAGTTTAAGGCACCATGAAGCCTACCATAGTGCTACTTCACATGGAAGTTGAGTACGAATATAGAGTTGGATTTAACACAGAAATATATTACAATATCTTTTTGTTCACTGAGCATTGTGCTAGGAATTGAAAATTCAATGGTTCAGTCCTATTTGGGCAAAACAAGTTGAATCTGATTGCAACCTTCTACCTCTCCTTATAATACCTGATCATCCCCGGTGAAACAGTGGCAACCATTTCTTGAAGGATCTTTTTGGCTTTCTTTTTCACTTTCTGGATGGCTTTGGATTGCTGCTGGGGAGAACCATCAGGGTTCAACTCAGCAGCCGCTTCAGCAATTGCTTCTTGTACTCTGATTTGAAAATGGAAAGAAAGACACACAATGTAACTGGTTCTGTGTTACATTCTGTATTCAGTATTTTCTAAACTCCAGCTGTAAGTCACAGAACAAAATGTACACAATGTAAAATCTCTTTAATATGTGGTAACACAAAAGAACAAGCTCAAGTTAGAAGTGCTCGCCCTGATTATCTATTAAAATGTTATGTATCATATTCTTAACTTCATGAATCCCTGAAGACTCTTAAAAGCAGACTTGAGAGTTTAATCCAAATTTGCTGGGTTACAACTATGTGATTTTGAATATTCTAGTTATGTTGTAAGAGACATAAGTTGCACTCTAGCAAAAAAGAGAAAAAGAAAGTTTACCCCTTCAGGCATAAAATTCAGAGGCATACAAAACCCACTGCCAAAATAATGTGTGATTTTTTTTGAAATCCTAATTTACTATGATTTAGATTGTTACCCCATTAGTAAAACTATATGTAAAATTCCCCAGAAGTAACAGAGGGATATAAATATTACAAATATTTTTTTCAAATCAATCTAGTAATTCAAAAATGACACAGCTCAAGATCAAAATAGCATTGGGGTAAAAAGAAAAGTTTAATCCAGTTTCATAAATCTGTCACTTGTCTTAGGGGGGAAAACATGAGGTTAAACCTTAAACCACTTCTAACATGCCAGCTACTACCCAAAACACCTGGATGATATGACACATACTTAAAAGCTGATTGTTGGTTTGTTTCAGGTTTTTAAAGTAATCTTTTTTCTTTAACATGTGCATTACAGGAAACAAACACAAGAAGCAAAGAACAAGTTGTCCATGGCCACAAGCAGTTCAGGTGGACATGTCTTTCTAGGTCCTGCATGTACACACAGAATCCATTTTAGGTAACTGAGATCATAAGGTCTGTGCCATGCTTTTCCACACATTGTAAAAATTCACCAACCCAAAATCCCAAAACTACATGAATATTTTGATAACCAAGAATACACTATACCAACTCAATGTGTTAGAAAAAAATTATAAGCCTGCCTTCCTTGCAGACAAAATTTTCACTGATGACAAAAATAGCAACAGGTCTCTAGACAGAGAATATTGGCAATTACAATTAAAATACCGCATTCCCTTACTGATCAATTTAAAATAAGACAAAAAGCAACAGAGTATACTAAGCATAGTGTTTCTAAGACAGTTCAGTATCATATCTACATACTGAAATAGGAGCAACAGGTATGTTCCCACTGAATTCATACATTCTTATAGTACAGCCAACGGCTCTTGAAACCTTCTTAAAGTTTTAACTACAAAATAGAATATATAATATTCTGAGAATTTCAAACAATTGTTTTCTTCCACCATCACTACTGAGTTTAGACTAATGACACAAAGCAAAACATCCCATAGCCCCATAACTCACTACTATTAAAAGACCAGCTACAAGGACGGGATGCAGGACAGACACACCCAGTCTATTTCCTTGAATGCTATTTACTGCATCTGGCCAGAAATGTTTTCACAAGTACTGAACGTGATTATCATATCTCTATTATAAGTGTCAGCACTATTGAGACTTTAGCCCCACAGGAGATACAAACAACCCTGTGAATCCAAAGCAATTTTCAGTCCATCATCTGCTACCCAAGTAGAGGTACATCTCTAAAATGGGCCACACCAATGAAGCAGAACAGAACAACCTTCACCCAAATTCCCATGTTCTAGAATATATATTTCCTCCATTGGGGCTCAGAAAACCATACCCCAACAGATAGCTTTTTGACAAGCTGCCTGCCTTCAAATTAGGTGTAACAAGAAGACCTTGGAATCTGCCTCACAACCAAGGACTTTCTAACTTTTCTGCTGTTTCTCCCCACCCAGGACACAGGGAGGGGGCTCTCTGGAATTCCCTTATCAGACTGAGGAAGCTCTTCCAAAAGAAACAGAATTGTCTTAATCTTCTTCCTAGAGTCTCATCAAGGAGCCAGGGAAGGTTGGCTGCCAGAGAAGAATAGAAGCTGAAACACCCAGACGGGCTTTTCATCTTCTCTTCTGAGGGCCATTCCCACAGATTACCTGGGTGACTTTATCTGTGCAGTATGACTCTGTTCCCAGAAGTTCTGCCCCTCCCCTAATGCCCTAGAGCCCAGAAACGTTTGTCCCCAGCTATTACCTATTCTCTAGGCTCCTTCACAATTGCCTAAAAATCATTTACTATACCTCAAAATTGCCTACACTCCTTCATTTCCTCTCTCCACAAAGGATATTCAAGTCTCATTGGGTTACTGCGTAATCACGATCCTGTAATGCCTGAGTATATTAGCAAATTCATATGCCTTTTTCACCTGTTAATCTCAATCTCAGTTTGCATCAGGGAATTTTTGGAGGGTAGAGGGAAAATCTCCCCCCTTCCCCTCCACCCCATTCCACATGGGCTCAAGTCAGCCTCCCTATTGGAAAGCAAGCTCCTCTGAGAAAAAAGACAGTCTCTTACTCTTTCAGATTTTTAACAATGGCTTTCTACTATAATAATTTACACTAGGTACTCAATCACTCTTTGACAAGATATCAAATTCACTTTTCTTTGGGCTATAAAATAGGAAATGCAATGTCCTCAATATTTATGCTACAGAAAACAGAGAATCCTAGAAATACATGCATCTCTGAACTGTGACTCATGACTTGCCTTTCACATATGAGAAGCCCATTCAGTCCATAATCCACAAAACAGGACTGCTCTTTCTATATGGTACTTTTCACTAAAGCCACCCATTCCCCTGCCTTTCCTGTTTCCTCAGAAACTGAACATTTAATGCTCAGAAATGTAAACACTTCACCAAACTGAGTCCCAGAGAAACCAAAGGTTTATGAAGGAACTTCCCCATTCCTACCACACATCCCTCACCTGCTGCTGTTCAGTACATTTTCAGCAACACTGGTAGCAAACATGCCCTTATGGACATCCCGCTCTTGAATAAAAAGAATGTAAGAAAGACGTCTTGCAAGCCATCCTCGGTGCCTGCAATGCAAAAATGAATTAGCAGCAAAGTACTCTAGGAACACCTACAGCACACAGTGGTTTTTCCTCTCACAAAAATAAAGCCTCATGTCACCTATTCCTGACACTTAAGTTGTCCTATAGCAACTTTTCCTTAATAGTTTAGGATTCTATGCAACCAATTTTATGCATAGTTTCTTTCATGTACTCTCAGGTAAAATTGAAACTCAGAATTTATGCATTACTGCTTGAATAGTCTTACTTTGTTGAATAGTAATCCTAATAGTGAAACAAAAGAAATAAAAAATTTGACTTTATTTGTTGAATGTCACATATAACCTATATATGTATATCTCTAGAAAATAAGATATATAGCTTATATCTATATCTATGGGCTACAAAAGGATAAATTTGGAAGTTTTCCTACCGTGAAGGGCTTATTATTATATTTCTTCTAAGATAATCAATGATTCTCAAATTGAATTAACAAGGTTGATCAAATAGAAGTCAAGCAAAACTAATCTATGTTATGATCTGATTATTTTTATCCTGAGTTCATAAAATCAGTTTGTTTGTTTTTTCTCAAACACACATTCAGCATACCTAAGGGATATTCTTATCAGCGGCAGTGACTAGAATGATGATGGGACTAGAACTATATGATGTTTAGAGGGGTATAGGTAGCTGAATTTAAGAATAAGAATGCTAGCAGTCTTCATTATGTAATGATTTAAAGCCATTTGTAATGATTATACAATGCTGCATTATCATTTCCTCCATTGTGTTATAGGGAGTAGAAGATTTCAAAATAAATAACTGAAAAGATCCTAAATGCCTTTACTGAGGAAAAATAATTTGGTAGAGAACTGGTTTTATGAATCACTTGTTCTTACATTTCTCCTTCTGCCACTCTCTCTGTTCCTTCCTCCTTTCCTTTGTCTAAATCTTCTGAATAATTTGCCCAATATGTTGCATTCATTTTAAAGTCTTTCTTGTGGGCACTGGTGGCTCCCACCTATAATCCTAGCCACTCAGGAGGCAGAGATCAGGAGGATCATGATTCAAAGCCAGCCTGGGCAAATAGTTTGTGAGACCCTATCTTGAAAAACTCTTCACAAAAATAGTGCTGGTGGAGTAGCTCAAGGTGAAGGCCCTGAGTTCAAGCCCCAGTACACAAAAAAAGTCTTTCTTCAGTGAACATATACAAATTCTAAGTTCTCTATGAAACCCCTTTGTAACGGATTGAAAGCAATGTATGTGTGTGAAAGTGTGTAAGTGTACATGAGTGAACACACGAAAGTGTATAAGCGTGCACAAGGGCACATGAGAGAAAGTGTGTGTCCATGTGTGTGCATGATTGTTAAGTACTATGGTTATATGTGTGTGTAAAATTATGTAGGCTTTACTCCATATAACACATAAACAAAACAGCTGTACAGGCAGCTTATTGCATTGAATAGTTTCATATTTCCAAGTCAATAAAACCAGTACTATTTTTCTTAACTGCTCCAATTGGGGTCAACAGACAAATGTTTTGGATTCATATATAAAATGTCTATTTGCATTAAGAAGAAAATACTCTATCCTTTTACTTAGGATCTTAATCATGTCAACCAAGAAAATGAAAAAAACGCTTCAGTGGCCCAGAGGAGAGGGAGGAAAGCGGAGGGGAAGAGAGAGGAGGTAAGGGGAAGAGAGGAACAAAGCCTGAGAATGGGAAAAAATATGTCCTGACTTTGACTTTAGTTCTATTTAAAAAAAAAAACAAAAAACAGCTTTAATATATTCAGCAGGTATTATCATTCTCACACGCAATCTCATCATCTAATCATGAATAATAATGCCGGAAACTCTTCAAAGCTGAGTATTTGACTTCTTGGATCACTTTTTCATAGAGTTTCAAGTATTTCTCATCACCTGAGCTCACCTCGTCTCTACTTTAGGCATCCACTCTTAGAATTACAAGGACTGGTAGTATTTTTGGCTACTGCTTTTCTTGCCTCACAGACACTCATACAACCTTCCATTTCTCCTCCTTTTCTTCTAACTTGGATTCATATAAAACAAAGGCCCTTTTCTCTTTCTCTCTCTCTTTTCTCTCTCTCTCTCTCTCTCTCTCTCTCTCTCTCTCTCTCTGGCACCTACTAGCCTCTCCCCAAATGTCTGGAATTTAGAAGTAAGAATTCTGAGAAAAGTCTTAGTTAAATAATAACTTAAAGCATATTGTTCAGAGGGTAAAATATTTTCTAAAACTCTATAGCTCTAATACCCTATGGATTATGCACAAATTTTAATCACTTTGACTTTATTTAAAGTAAAAAGCAGGTGCGATAGATAAGACATTCAAATCTACATTTCTCCTCAGACAAATTGTTCCCATATTTTAGCAAAAGTTGGTATATGAATGAATTAAAGTACATTAAAGTAATATCAGCATTCCCATCTCCATGGAATGGAATATTTATAAGTATAGCAGACATTAATAGTGATAGGTCTTTCTGGTGGCTGTCCTACTTCTAATCTCTACGTCAAAAACCGCTCACTCTCAAAACTGGCTTATCTAAGGGTGTACTAATTGACATGATGAGTTTTCCTTTGGAGCCTCAATAGAAGTATTAGAAGTTTTTTACCTTGTATGAGTTTCATTGATGTAAATAACATTCCGCAAACCTAAAGATGGGATACTGGGGTTGAAAAATTTTTCCTATAAAAACCAAAATAAATATAGATAAGAATACACAACTGGATTGATGGTGAAGAATTTCCATTACTATTTCTAGAACATTTTTAAAATTCAAGCATAAAATTAGGACTTGCTTTGAAAATCTATGTAATGAAGAAAACACATTTTACTGCAAAGTACTCTTTAGGCTTCAAAGGTTACAAACTCAAATTTTTCCATCATATTTTTCTATATTAAGCAAACACAATAATTATTTTTAAATACACAGATGTTAAAGCAAAACATAAAAGTTAACAAATGAAAAACTATACACATGGACACACACTGAGAAAAGCATAGAGGCATCCCACCCTTTTCAAATATCAGATGCTTACTGCCGTGATGTGCATTACACAGTTCATGGTTAATACTACCCAAAGATCTCAAAGCACTTCGTTATTATTCATTAAAACACATGTAAAGTTTCCATATTAGGCAGTGATATAAGACTGTGTACGAAACATAAATGAACACAGGAAGGCATTCCCAGTGTTCTCATGAGAACAATGTTCTTATTACTATGTGAGCCTTTATCCTTACGCTGTCTCACACTTAGGTTTCAGAGGCTGGACTTTGGATCAGGTCACCCAAATAAGCAGTGCCTGTCTTTGTCAAAATTAATTTTTAAAATCTTAAAACCAAAGGAAATAGTACCTCTTCCCTTCCTGGCCAGCTCCTCACCTCCATCTCAAAAGAGCTAAAGGTATAGTTAGCTTACAACATTCACAAGACAGTCACAGATCTGTCACAGTTATTGCTAGGTTACTAAATCTCCCAATATATAAGGCACATTATCCCCATTTTGTAGGTAAGAAAATTGAGGCTGGTAGTTTAGAAGATGTCAAATGTATAGGCCGGGTGGAGTGGTTCAAGTGTTAAAGAGTGCCAGCCTAGCCCTGAGTTCAAGCCCCAGTGCCATCAGAAAAAAAAAAAAAAAAAAAAGACAAAAAGTTTGCTTAGAAGATGTCAAATGTAAATTCATTAACTCTAAAAAATTGAAAAAATCCTCAATTAAGAAAAAAATAATTTTCCTCATCTCGATGTCAGATCTTGTTTCAAAGAGTATGGCCTTTCTAGTCCCCTAAATGACTATTCACTCACTGAGAAAATGTACATCTATAAGTCATCCTCTTTACAAGTGATTTTCAAAGATAATCTAGAGTTAGCTCTGTTGAAAAGAGAAAGTCTACAGCTTGATCAATGTGGGCAAAAAGATAAGTATCCCACAAATAAATGCTAGAAAAGTGTCATCAACAAAAGATATAAAAAAATAAAATGAAAGAGACGTAACATCTCTTTAGAGAAAAGAAAAGCAGGATTTCAGAGAAACGATAGCAAATATAAAAAGGTTACTATAAAATATTTTCAAACAAATCATTCTAAATGAACATGCCATGAAAGAAATTCAAGACCAAACTCAGCTCCATACATTACTATATTTATGCAAAAATCAATGATCTGTTACACTATCTGTCTCTACTCCAAACCATCACTACACCAAATAATTTCCTATACTTTCTTCTGATTTACGGATATATTGTAACATTGTAGTTACAGGATTGTTTTGGTCTAATATCATAGATAAGTTATTGTTTTGAATACACATTTGAAACTAGACTTAGATGACATGTCAAATCTAAAAAGAAAAGCCACACGACTTTCTATTTAAATCTACTTCCACTGTCCTGTGAATCTAAACTGGCCTTACTCTTGGACTAGAAAGTTCTATGATACTTCTACTCTATCATATTCTTGCAACAAGGCACTATGGTTTAAAAGAATATTTATGACAAGACATTCTTGAGCAAACTTGAGGACTTAACCTGAACTGTTTGGGTCCCACATATATCTCTTCAATGTCAGTAAATCCTAAGGCCAAACTCACAACTCTACTTCCTACCAAGCCAACCCTGAGCAGAAAATTCACCAGCACAGTTAGCTATTCACACAGGTTGTAAGCAACCACCATAAATCACAAGACCTGAAATATCAATATTCCTAATAACTAGCCCATCAGGGAGAGCCTAACATCCAAACATAACCATCTAAAGGGTAACTCTAATGCCTCAGAACACAAACACAAAATTTGATCTCTCGCACCAACTCATCCCTCTCACCCAATCAGCTCTGTACGCTATCCTATAATGTGGAAGATACGGCACAACTTGTGTTTTTTCACCAAAATACAAACAAACTCAGACACACTCTTCTTAAATCTTCATTGTAACATTTTAATGATCATTTTTCACGATCATAAAGTAGGACATCCCTCAGAAACAAAAACATATCCAAAACCAAAAGCAAAGTCACAGCTTTAACTTTTTCTGTCCCACCATCTCTCTTTCATCTTGCCAGGATTTTAATGTTAAGGGCTCAAGGTCAACACCTAGAAGGTACATGAAGATTCCTACCAATCTTGGAATTGTATTCCCCCTGAAATCATGCTAAAGCCACAAAAGAACCAGAATATTGCCTAGATTGATAAGGAGACCAATATTTATTGAAAAAAATGAATAGAAAGAAAAGTTAACTTCTTTACTTGGAATACGTGGTTGATAAATGTGGGGTTTCAGTTCTAAGAATGAATCAAGCCCACTAAGACCAAACAACAAAAAGTCACACAAACTTGGAAACCCATGTCATATATTTCACTCTGTTCATTAAAGGCCAACAAGCAGGAATGTTCTTACCCAGCTCTGAGGAGTGCAAGAATAACAACATCTTCCAACAAATGGCCTTTTCCGGCTCATGAGGCTTTCTTTCCATTTTAATGTTGCAGATCTGAAGAAGGTAGGTTTAAAACCACAGTCACCCTAATAAATATTGGGGGGAAAAAACAATGTCTAAATGGCAAGAGAACTATACTTGTCCACTTTATGTCTAAAACCAAGAATTCATTATGTTAACTGAAATAAGCCAGGCACAGAAAGACAAATACCACACGTTCTCACTTACATATCTAACTCAAAAAAGTTGATCCCATAGAATTACAGAGTAGAATAGTAGTTACCAGGCTGGACAGGTGGTAGGTGTGTAGGAAAAGTTGGTTTAATGGGTATAAGTATACAGTTATGTAGGAACAGTAAGTCCTACTATAGCACAGTAGAGTGACGATAGTTGACAATATCTTTTTTTTCCAGTACTGGGTACTGAACTCAGGGCTTCTAGAAAGTGCTAGACCATTTAATCCACCCCTCCCTTAGTCCTTTTGCTTTTTAGCTTTTTTTCAGATAGAGTCTTGTACTTTTGCCTGGGCTAGCCTCAAACTACAATCCTCCTATCTCCACTACCCAAATAGCTGGGATTAGAGGCATGCACCAAAAGCCCAACAACAATAATCTATTGTTCACTTCTCAACAGCTAGAAGAGAAGATTTTGAATATTACCAACACAAGAATATGACACTGCTTGAAATGATGAATATACAAATCACCCTGACTTAATCATTGCACATTGTATACAGGTGTTGTAAAAGGACACTCCATCCAGTAAATATATACAATTACTATGTCAATTAAAAATAAGTGGGGCACTGGTGACTCATGCCTTTACGTAATCCTAGCTACTTGACAAGATTAGATTGGGAGGAATGCAATTTAAGGCCAGCCTAGGCAAATAGTTTGTGTGACCCCCCCTCTCAACCAATAGCTGGGTGCAGTAGTGTGCACCTGTCATCCCAAGGTACAGGAGACTGCGATCAGGAGGACTGTAGTTCCAGGCTAATCCTGGACAAAAAAAGTTTGTGATAACTCATCTTAACAGAAAAACCTGGGCGTGGTGGTACATGCCTCCCATCCCAGCGATGCTGGAAAGCTTAAAATAGGAGAATCATGGTCCAGATAAGCCTGCACAAAAAGCAAGACCCTATCCCCAAAATATCCAGAGAAAAAAGGGCCAGAGACATGGTTCAAGTGGTAGAGAGCCTGCCTAACAAGCAAGCAAAGCCCTGAATTCAAATTCCATCACCACCAAAAAATAAATATAACAGATATCCATAATAAAAGTTTTTTAAAATTTTAGTTACAAAAAACCTCAAAGCTATAGAAGGTCAAATGGACTTCTGACAGAACAAAATGAATAAATCAGATTCCTAAATCCCCTATGCTCGGAGTCAGTTTACCCCCTTTGAAATCACACATTCCCACAATCAAACAGTAAGTTATTGTGTTACAGCTTAAAAGATTTTACTGTAAACAAAAACCCAGGTAAAACTTAGTAGCATTCTTTTGTCTTATGAAGAGAGTTCAAAGGCTAAATTTAAATTACAGTTGTATTGCTCAGTTCGGATCAAACCCTGCTCTATTTTGCCAAAACTTTTCTCAAACTTTGAGCTCATTACTTGCTCAAATCTCACGGATTCTTTAAAATACCCAGAAGACCAAACCACCAAAATATTTTAAACATGCCATGTTTTGTTGAAATAGGGAAAGCAATATAATACAAGCTTTTTTATTTTTTACTGGACTCATACAACAATTTTCTATTTTTAGTGTTTTAAAGTTTACTTTTATTGTAATATTCATGCTTATTAAATACAATTTATGGAAAGTAAACACCAAAAGAAAAAAAAAGTACACTCTCCAAAACAATTATAAATGTTTTATCCTGTAGCCAAAGTGCTTTGCTTTTTAATACAATCATTGAACTTTAATTTTCTATCCAATCTTCCTACCCGAGTCCCACCAAAAAAAAAAAACCTCTATCCAATCTTCCTTCCCAATTAACATAATACCATAAAAATGTCTAATAACAATTAGACTTCTAACAGTAGAAGTAATCTGACTTCTAACAGTTGGAGGCAGGTGCTGTAGCCATTAACCTCTATTTGATATTATGTTGTCACGAGTGTTTCCACATTCATAAATAACATTGAAGTGAACACATCCTTTCCCTTCAGTTAAATGTTTTTAACTCTTCTCTTAAACTTACCCATTCCTCACTCATGTGTTTACATCGACTGAGGCTGTATTCTGATGAATGTGGCAGATAAGAAACATCTATTGTGCCAAGGGTCAGTCCAGATTCATCCATGTCACAAAGTGTAACTCCCAAATCATGTGCTATAAGAAATATATACCATTTAAATTAATGAGGAATCTAAAAGGCCCAGAACTGAAAATTTTGACTTCTATATTGTTTTATTCCATAATTGGATATCAGATGAAACATACTTCTACTATGTTGTGTCACAAAGTAAAAACTGCCCTTGATATATTTATATGAACTCAGGCTGCCCTGATTAGGGGAGGGGGTAAATCAACATTAAAATAACATATGTCCTGAATATGTAAGGATACAGTAGTACAAGTAATCTTAGACTTCCAGGACAAAACAACTATTAATAGACACTAGTAAGTATAAATAAGACCTTATCTCCAGTATGCAACAAATAATTATTACATTTTTCTTAATGACTAAATAACTCCTGAGGAAGTAAAAGTATGAGTTTATTTAACATACGTATGCACACAAGATTTTTTTAAATTACGAACTGGAGATCTTCACTCATACATATTCATGCCGTGTAAAATGGATGAAGGCAATTAACGCACCCGAAACCTTCCCACTTAAACTGAATTAATTTTAGTTTTTCTCATGATGCTTAAAGAGATCTTTTACTTTTAAGACACCTACAAAACTCTAAAAGAAAAGCACACTATTTAGAAACATCTGGTTTTTAAGTTTTCATTCTTTTCAATTAAGCCTTTTCCTACCCTGAGGAAAATGTTCACTGACAATGAACTTAATATTTTATATTATATAATTATCTTATCTTAATATCTAAAATAGATATTAATGCAAAATATTAAAACTTTCGAACATAATCTCTATTCTCTAATTACTTTAGCCTTAGCTATCTCTCACCTGGCCTTGGATCATTCCCTTAACATCCTGAAAGCTCACCTTCCAGGCAGCAGTGTTCTTTGAAAGAGATATTCTGATTTCTTTACAATTCCATATGGATTTGCTACAGTAACTGTTATTCTCAAAGTAACTACTTGTAATTGTCCTTAACAATTTAACATAAATTAACAACCTAACAAACTAGACCTGAAGAGACAATAGTAAAGCCATGCACCTGGGATGAAAGTTCTGTATTATAAAATAAAAATTCAACACTCAGCTATCAGTTTCCTGTGCAGAAAATCCACACAACAGGGGGAGCACGCTGCTGCCTGAGAAAAGAAGTGATGAGAAGATGAGGGGAGGGAAAAGAGCGTTGTGCCAGTAGGAAGGCGATGCTTTGCTCCTCCTTCCCACAGAGTTTACCCAAGGTCAAGAAGTTTAAAAAAAAAAAAAAATCCCAGAGGCACCAGGCAGCTGGGTTGTGGGGAGCAGACTGTGTGTGTAAATCTGAAACCGAGAAGCTGGGGCCAGCTCTAAAGTTTAAATCCCCCACTGCACGCCATCTGTATGAATTTTGACACGTTAGCTAACTTCTATGCCTTGGTTTCCCTATCTGGAAAACGGGCAGAATGCCATCCATCTCACTTGGGCTGCAAGTAGGACTGAGTAACACAAGGTGCCTAACAAGGTGTGTGGCACACAGTGAGCGCTCAGTGCAGCCAGCAGTGGCCGCAGTCACTGGAACATCCCCAGTGCCAGCTGCTCTCAGAGCACCCCTGCTGCCTCGATGTCCCCACGAGAGGAGGCCGACTGGCAGTGCCCCCGCCCTTCATAGGTGCCTCGCCTAGAGAACCTGGTCCTCATGGACCTGGAGAGAGAGCTATGCCGACCCCCACCCCGCCCGGCCCACTTCTCAGGGGGGATCCCGGAGCTGGGGTTGAGAAGAACGGGGATTGGGACCGCCCGGGAAACTTCGCCAGGTCCAGGGGGAGAGAGGCGACACGCACCTGTCCCAGTGCTCCCGGCTGGCTGGCCGCGCAGCCTCCCGCTGGGCCGCCCGCACCCGCTGCCTGGCCGCCAATGCCTGCTGCAATGTCGCGCCCTGATGACGCAAGCGGCGCGCGCGAGTGTCGTGCGGGGGCGGCTGCTGGTGGCCTTGCGCAATGTGCGTGGATCCAAGGGTAAAATGAACCGAGGAGCTGAGGGTGGGCTGTGTGAGTGATTTGTCAGGAGCGATGCAGGATTAGGGATGGGGAAGGCGGGGATTCCAAACAGCTTCTCTGATTTTTGTAAGAGTGGCTGAGCCTCTGGAAGAAAGTGAGGCTTCAAAGATACAAAGCCTCCATTAAGCGGGAGAAATTCATTTTTATTTTTCCTTTGAGACGTATTGCACATCGTGGTGCATACGGTAAATAATAATGTATTATAGTCCTACGAATTTTGACATGCACATTTCTGGTGTTCTCACCGCAAAAAAAAAAAGTTAATATTTGAGATGATAGTATTTTAATTAACTTGTCTTAATACTTCACATTCTATTCGTAGATCATAACATCACTTTGGGGTTTTTCTTTTTAGGGGGGTTGGGTTTTGGTTTGGTTTTTTTTGTTTTGTTTTGTTTTACCTATTAGCTTTATTATGATACTACAGGTGTTTTCAAAGCATGGTCTGAAGCTGTGGAGTGCCAAAAAAAAAAAATTCTGATTCCAAAGCATGGCCTGAGAGTTTGAGGACCTCTGAATCCTTTATGAACATCCAAGAAACAAAGTTATTTTCATAATAATTCTAAGATGATATTTGCTTTCATTTTCCACAGTCATCAAAACTGAAAATATTTGGAATTTCCCTTTAAGGGAGAGAAGAATAGGAAATTCTGAAGCTGGACTTTCATTCCAGAACTCCGAACATTCCAGATAGCAGAACTAATGTGAGAAAAGGAAAAGCAGCATGGAAAAGCAAAGTTTGCTCAACTATGGCTAGAAGTTTGTTATGGCTAGTTTTCTGGTTTTTATTTTTTTATTAGGATATATTCACATAACATCGCTTTGTACTTCATAAATATATATATATATATAACTGAATTGCCAATTTATAATTAAAAAATTTAAAAAAAAAAGCTTGAAGAAGTCTGAGTCAAAATTTGCCTCACTTTAGTCATTTAAAAGATATGACACTGGGCAAGAAGAGGCTCTTTGGCAATATTTGTTGTGTCATATCTACTTAAAATAAATCTTTGTGCATGTTTACCCCAGTCCTTAAGAGGCCAAATGCTTGAGCCTGCTCAAAGAGGTCCCTACTTTTCTTATTCTTTTCCAACAGGAACCCCAACTACTCTGACTGTCTTAGACAAGTCATGGCCACTCATACTCCTAATTCTGCTCATGCCATTCTCCCCAAAACTCTATGGTTCCTGAACTAGTTCTCCAAACCTTCCCTCATCTCTCAGTCCTCAATTATCACACTCTTCCTGTGATACCTACAGTGCTACTTGGGTCTTTTGTCAATCTGTCTGACTTTTATAAAATTACAAACTTACGTCAGTGACTTGCCTCAGTCTCCTTATTAACACCCCATGCCTTGTTCTAATATGCATTCAATGAATGTGGCACAAGAAAAACAAGAAGTTCCTCTCTTGAACTTTCTACTTCTGTTTATAAGTCCATCCCAAAATGTGAATATTCTCATCAAAAGATGAGAATATTTGATGAGAAAACAGAAGTGGGTATTTATATTTAAAAAATATTCTTGGAACTTCTTGAAGCCAAAGCCCCTATCTATATTATTCAACTTTGCATGTAACTTAACAAGCCCACTGGAGGACTATATGCCACCTAGAATAAGGAATTCTTAGCCCAAAACACCATGAAATTTTGAGTACAGATTACTGGTCCCTGACAATGAAAAAAAAAATTTAATGGAGTGAAAAGATAGAGAAAAGCTTTGGGATTTGAATCACTGCTAAAGAGAAAGTAACAAAAAAAAAAAAATGAAGTAAGCACCAGAGAAATTTTTAAATATAAGACAGAAAGCAAATTGTCTTACATAAAACTCACTTGTAGACAGGTTCTTCAATAACACCCATTGCACAAGGCTTAGGTACTTATAAATGTGGATTGCTATGACTAGTGTTTCAGATTACTTAGTGAAAACTGTTTTGGAAACAGGTGACACCCTCAGCAATCTATTTTATCAACAGAACGATAATTTATAGTCATCTAGTCTAGCCAGCCATGATGGAGCAACAGGGCTGAATTTACTGTCCTGCCGAAAACAAACAGGCAAATATAAGACAA